TTGCTATCTCCTTTATTTATTTTTAGTATACATCTATTTACACTTCGTAAAGTAGGAGATACTCAGAATTGTTGTTGCTAATGCTACCCTAACGATGGTTTCGTCGGATAGGCCCACGAAATTCATCGTGGCAAGAGGCTAGTTTTTACGTCTGTCGTTAGCCGTAGCCTTGCGCACCATGCAGGTGACAGTACGATTTGGAACGGTTCCACTCCCAATTTTAATAAAGGAAGTGGTCAGGGGTCTCCCACCTCTCCTTCCCATTCACCAACCTCTCGAGAGGACTTGCGATTAGACGAATATTTAGAGAACCACCATGCCGCACAGACATTATACGTTTACAAGCATCCATGCCTCTCCATGACTCAAACCCACGCCCTACGGCACAGTAGTTATAGCGTCACTAACCACTATACCGGAAGAGCGGCTATTCTTATAATTAGCACTCATATACTATTGTTAACATTTCTTATGCATACGTTTGCACACAAAATTTTTTATATTGCACACTGATTATTTTTGGGAGATAAAACAATTATTTTAAAACAGCATAGTGTTCAAATCTATATGATTTTACTATGCAATTGTTGGTTTCTTTTTCATGGCTAGCAATGTAATGAGTCTCATGTATATTTCCAAAATATAGCACCAGAATTTAAATGATAACGATATCAGGTATTTAAATAGCCTTTTTTCTTTCTTGTTTCTTTTAAGAATACTTCAGAAACTTGTGAGTGACAAAGATTTATTAAATGAATGAATTTTGTAAAATTAATTTCAGTCAGAGATTTGATTATTTTTCTAGCTGATCAACTTACACAATACTTCTCTTTATCGTATCTCATTCACGAAGATCTTCAATTTAAAAAACCTCGTATTCAGAGCTCCTTAATAAAAAAAATCCATTCTTGAGTGCAAAATTATTATTGTTTAATTAAACATTCCAAAACTCCAAAATCACATCATATAACTAATTTTGCTTCAAAGCTGAAGTGAGAAATCCTTAAAAACCATTGACAAAGCTTAAATGATCTTATGTTTAATTTCTTTGTCATTTTTGCCATTAAATTAAAATAGCAGTGTATAATAGTTGCTTATAAAAATCAAAATAACATTATAAGATTTCAAAATTTTAATGAAAAAGAATTAAATCTGAAGTAGAACTCCAGGAACTGGGGGATTTTTCTTGTTTCTGAATTTCTCATTCCAGTATCATAAAGATTCCGGCAATAAACTAATAACATTTTTCTTTCACTATCTTATTTGTAGCATAAGGTGTATTTATTTCCACTAGCAATTGAATTTCTTCTACAAGGTTATCAGAAATGAATGACCCAATTAGAACATTTAATAATTCCCAAATGAATAAATAGAAAATGATCATCATTATGTCATTTTAAAAATAAAATATATAATTTTGAGTTTGTAATATTGCTTTTGTCAAATAAGTGGTAGCAATGTTGTAATTGTGAACAGAAGTGGAAATGATGTCGCAGCGGCGGAAAACATTTTGTGTGCTCTCGTTTGCAAAATGTCTGTCAGTAATCACGGTTCAGCGTGGATTTCGGAAAAAGTTCCATATAAATGCACCAACGTCTAAGAGTATAAGAAGATGGTATAAACCAGTGGTCGGCCACCTTTTAGCTGTGGCGTGCCAAACCAATCTATCATTATGATTCAGCGTGACAGTAGAACATTTTTGAAACAATAAGAGTCCCGCGATAATGCATGGCCTTGGTAGCCTGGTGGTCAAGGTATCGGATAGAGGCTTGCTTATCAAGAGTTCTAACCCAGTACCACTAAAGACCCGCCGTGAGGGGAGCTATGCACGTTAAATCTGTCGAGAGATCAAACATCCTAACGTTGGTGTGGTAGTTAGGAGAGGGGGTGCCAGCTGAGGTATCGTCCTCGTCACTTGACCATGGTTCAAAATTACGAGGTGGTCCGTCAGCAAAAGTCCTCGTGAAGCTGAACAGTGCGATGTTAATATTCACTCACGCAACCAACAATGAAAGAGTATTTTCTACTTTATAAATTTCTATTGTAATTCAAGCAATTGTATTTGAAATTTTGATGTCTTGTTTTTTGTCTGAGACAACCGCATTTCATTTAAACTGTAAAAAAAATTAATTCTTATATTTTCAAATTTTTTAATTTTTCGATTAGTCTTTGCGTGCCACTGATATAGCTCAGTCGTTCCACACTGTGGCACGCGTGCCGCTGTTGGGCCACCCCTGATCTTAAAAGTTAACTGTTTCGCACGAATTTAACCAGGTAGCTCTTAATATACCAAAACATGAGCTTTTAAAAATTACAGTCAGACCCCAATTTAACGAATACATCTGGACCGAATATTTTATTCGTTAATTCGGGGTTATTCATAATATCGCGGTTTTAAAAAAAAACACAATTTTTTGCACTTACCTATTGGAAATTATGCCAGGAACTACATACAAAAATATATCCACAGTCAGAAATTACACACTTTTTATTCAACAGCTAAAAATACTGGTACCGTTGAATGAGATAAGAAAGGAATTTTCTGTCGTATTGAAAACTCAAGCGATATAGAGGTTACACTCATGACTCTTCTGCACCTGTAAAGACTAATAATGGGGTGCACCGTTTCCCGTCGAAATTTACTGTTTACCAGAAAAGTTTTTCTGTTCAGGACAAAAAGGATGTGTCTTTTGAAAAGAAATCTAATTTTTTTTTAATCCAAACTATTAAAGAAAAATTTTCGACCGTTGAATTAATTCGTTTTTTCTAGTATTATTGTTTATTAAATAGAGAGGTGGGGGAGTGTGCCTTTCTTTTAGTTGGGGAAAAAGAAAAAAATCATTAAATCGATAAACTCATTAAATATGGGTTTGTTAAAACGGAATCCGAATGTACTTTTATTTTTGTGTGAAAATTGCCTTAAAAATAGTTTTAAAATAAGTAATACTATGCCTATATATATATATATATATATATATATATATATATATATATATATATATATATATATATATATATATATACATGTATATATAGTATTTAAAATCACAACGTTACATTTTTTTTATTCTTTAAGAACTGAAACAGTATTCTACATTTTGTCTGAAAAGTAGTTGATATTAATCAATTACATTTGTATATTTTGAAAAATTGCTTGAATTTTTCGCGAGCACAGTACATCTTTCTAAGACTTGTTCACACATACTACTAGTAATGCTGTTTAATTTGTTTACAGCCCAAATTATTCATTGTTTGAAATGCTGTGACCGATTTAGGGGTTGAATACAATAGAATAACTTTCTATTATCTCCAATGTTTCCTTCAAAAACTAATAAAAGAAACATAAAATTGTTAATTCCAATTTAAATTTGAATTTAGATTAAAGAAAAGAAAAACATTTTTGAATGTTCTTCGAATATTCATTTACTGCGTTTGTTGTGAAGTTTGTTATATGTTTCAATGATAGAAATATGTTCTTTCGAAACATTGTCAGAAAAATACTTTACACATCGTATAATTATTCAGCAATTTTTTTTTAAATTTGCAATCTACATAGGCGCATTTTATAAAGACATAGTTCTGCTTACTTAAAAATCCTGAGTTTAATCCAAAAGAAAAAAAAACTATCTAAAATTTATCAAAAAAAGTTTTTATTTATTTATTTATTTATTTATTTGCAATTTTTGAAAATAAAAAAAATTTCAGTTTTTTTTTTTTTTGTTTAAATTTTAAAGAAAAAAAAAAAAGAGAAGGAATTAGAATTTAGTTCTTTCGAAACATTGCCAGGAAAATACACTACACATGGTATAATTATTCAGCAAATTTTCCCTAAATTTGGAATCAACGTGGACGCAGTTCATAAAAATGCATAGTTCTGCCTATTTAAAAATCTTAAGTTTAATGAGATATGAAAAAAATCAAACAATCAGAAATTTATCAAAAAAAAAAAGGGGGGTTGTAGTTTCTTAGAATTTAAAAAAATACGTAAATTGCAGTTTTCTTTTAGATTTTAAAAGATATATTTGACTGGGCTTTCATTTTACAGAATTTAAAATCTATACAATTATTTAATTCAATGTTATGGAAGAAAAAATGAATTGCCAAAACTCAATATAATAGCTCCACTATTCATAAAGTAGTGATGTGTACCATAAATGGGAAACGTGTGGTCTAAATGATTGACTTCAGCGATCTTCGTTAAAACTAAATCGTATATTAATTAATGTTCATTTATATATTTAGAAGAGATAGTTCGAAATTTGTAGAATTTAATAAGGAACAGTATAAATGTAACTTTCAGTAGTTACTGTAAGGATTACAACCAAATGTATATTTCAAATGATGGCATATTACATAGTGCAAAATGGCAACTCTACCGGATATATGTTACCTTTAATATCTACACAAAACTATTTTCTTAATATTAATGCTCGTAAAAAGATCATTAGGAACTTGTTCTTCAAACTTACACCAAGCTAGTAGTAATACAGTTATAATATTTATTCTATATGGTTTTACTAAAGCAAGGTGTTATTGTATTTCTAGCAAACATACGCAATCTGAAGATATTATTTATTATGTTTTTTACCCCTTTCATGTCAAATTGCAGTAAAAGAAAATTAAATGAAAACCAGTAATATATATATATATATATATATATATATATATATATATATATATATATATATATATATATATATATATATATATATATTAAAAAAATAAGTCAATTCCTATGTAGGTCAACTAAAAATTTGTTTATCTTAGTTACTGTTTATTAAATAGTTACAAATAATATAAATATTTATAGACATATGACAGAATCGCAATAAAAAGACACAAAATAGAAAGCCATTTTCCTTGCAATTTTCCCTTTTCCTTTCTATATATGGTATTAAACTTTTTTTTTTTGCTTTTTTGTTACTATTTATTCATCAATTAAATTTAATTTTAATAAAATAGTATAGTAAAAAAAGAAATCACTTTCTCAGAAATCAGGCCGTCCCAAGAGGGATTCGAATCCACGACCTTTGGATTAAGATTCCAAAGCGCTAACCACTGCGCTACAGGGACACAACGCAAGATTTTCCTTTCTATATATGTTGTTAAACTATTATTTTTGTTTGTTATTATTTATTCATCTGTTAAATTAACAAAGGAATTAATATTTGAAAAATCTGTCTTAAAATCAAGTGTCATCCACTACAAGTTTTAAAATGAAATGTAGCTTGTATGAATATACAAATTAAATATTAATTAACGGTTAATTCCATATTGTTTCAAGATCAATGAAATATTTTAGAATTTTGAGCAACTACGCATAGAAATTCCTAAATAAAAAATGTGTTATTACCCATTTTTATTTGAAACAGAATTTAAAAAATATTTTTAGTCTCTCTCTCCAGAAAAAAAATCTGACAGATCTTTTTTGAAAATAAGAATAAACTAATTAAAAAAAACAATATTTCAATGGGGGAGTAAAGTGATTTTGAAATAATTGCCAAAAAATTAGAAACAAATTTTCCTAAATTTAACATAACATAATTTTGAAACATTAAACTTTGTAAATATGTTAAATAAATTTAAGTTTTTAAAAAAATTAATACTTTTATTTCACATATAAATCTTTTTATTCATATTCAGTGCAGTCATTTAAAATTGAACTTTACTTTCAACCAAATGTTACTCTTACCTCACATTTTGCTCGAAAATGAATTGACAGCGAAAATGAAAGGCAAAAAGTACGAAGGATTTCAAACGCAAAATCGAACAAAGCTGGTCGGTAGAAACAACGCACTTAAGCGGTAGTCCTTATCTGAGAGATTCGTAGCTTCATACGCAGAAAAATTAATCAATAACGGCGGATTCTGAACGAGCCACGAGGATGAACCGTAAAGTGTAATCAGCTTTCTCTCCTCAGATCTCTTCCTATAATTTACTTAATAGAAATATTAATGTGTGTCTTCTGGCTCCTAAAATTTCATTTTAATTTTTGGGGACAATTCTTAGGATTGTGGATAAAAATCGGAAAATATAACTTAAATGCTATGCTATTTTTCTTCTTTATTGATACCAAAAGTATTCTGTAACTGATTCTAATAAGTGATTTCGCATCTCAAAATATACTATAACTTTTGTACGCTGTATAAAATAAAATTTCGTTAATTCGTTCACATATTATAAAAATAAATTTGTGTGACGGGAAAAGCTTTCAAAAAATTTAATGTCTTTTTATGTCCCGTTAAAATATAAATATTAGAGCCTATTCGTGTAATTGTCCAAATTAGAATAAAATGAATTGATAAATATTGATTTCGTTTTTATTAGTATCGACAATGCAGTTGAAAGTGCATGAATTAGTTAGAAGTTATTAATTATAGTTAGATTTAGAGAAAGTGTTACACACAAATTTTTCTTACAAATTCTGAAATAACAGAAGGAAAACATTATCATATTAATTTACGTTACTACACGATTATATAAAATATTTATGTGCGTGTAGCTAAAAAATTTTATTAAGCTTCATTTGGTATCTTCATTTGTAATTTAGAGCCTGTAAATGTATCTTAGATTTTAATATGCACAGTTCCTTAAATGAATCTTAATTTCCTTACTGGTAATATTGAATGAGATAAGAAAGGTATTTTCTGTCTTATTAAAAATTCAAGCAATAGGTTACACTCTAGACTCTTATACGCCTGTAAAGTTTAATAATGGACTACATGTTTCCCGTCGAAATTTGCTGTTTACAAGAAAAATCTTTCTATTCCGGACAAAAAGTATGTGTCCTTTGAAGAGAAATCTAATTTTTCCTAATCAACACTATAAAAAAAACTCGACATTATAATTAATTAATTTATTCTAGGTTTATATTTCATTCAATATAGAGGTAAGAAGGGGGGTCTTTTAATTGGGGAAAAAGAAAAATTCATTAAATCGAGAAATTCGATAAATATGATTTTGGTAAATTGGTATCCGATTGTACTCTGATTTTGTGTGAAAATTGCCATAAAAATAATTTTAAAAAAATAATGTGTGTCTAAATATTTGTTGTATAATTTTTTTAAGAAATCCCATAATTTAACAGAATCGTGTCTGTAACAAAAATAGCTGCTTTATATTCTCTATTCCGAAATTATTATTTATCAAAAAAAAACTGTATATCTCTAATTTGCTACTTAAAAATTACAGGATCTTAAAAATATTAGCCACATTACACACCCAACAATCTGACTTGAGAAGTCTAGGTCTGTATTTTTTGGTACATTTCATATGACCTTTCAACTTTTAATCATATTTAACAAATTAATTCTCCTTTTTGTTCTTAGCTGCATTTGTCCATTTTTATTCAGAATTTGCCAAAGGAATCGTTTCCTGTTTATCTCATCATGTAAGGATGTTAAATGACTGATGGACAGTCAAATATGTACATATCTTTTCTTTTCGTAAATAAATACAAAATTAAGAGATTGAAGAAAAATGAATGAAAGTAAAGCTATCTAAGTATCTCTGCTAAAGCAGAATAATAAGCCTAAAGGAAAAATATCTTCTCTTTCTCGGAAAACAAAACAAAAAAAAACAATTGTAAGAAGTTATTTTTAAGGGGCTGCCACACAGATGTGCTTCAAATATTGAGCAGAATAATCGATTATATTATTTACATTTCCTGCAAATCATTCTCAACACACAAGAACACAACTTGATAAACTAATAAGAGTAGCATTTCGTCTTCATTTCTCCCTCCAGCTTTTAACTGAGAGAAATCAAGTAATATAAGAAAATTATTTTTCAGACAACTCCTATTTGGGTCAACAAAGAAATGTTTTACTTTAGTTTATTTTTGATTAAATAGTTACAATAAATATAAAAAGGTATATATATGTGACAGAATTAAATGACAAAATGGCAAGCAATTTTCCATTTCCCTTTCTATATATTTTATTTCTGCTTGTTTTTACTATTTATTTATTTACTAGGTTTAATTATTCTAATAATACAGTATATAGTAAAAAAATGAAATCACATTCTCAGAAATTAGTCCATCCCAGGAGGGATACGAAACCGACCTTTCGATTAGAAGTTCAACGCGCTAACCATTGCACTGCAAGGACACAATGAATGATTTTCCTTTCTATATATGTTGCTGAACTAGTATTTTTGTTTGTTACTATTTATTCTTTTTTAAATTTAATTAAGGAATTAGTATTTGAAAAAACTGTATTAACTTCAAGTATCATATCCACTACAAGTTTAAAAAATGTATTTAAACTTCAATGGATGAATAGAAGATATTATTTTACTGACGATTGAAATTTTGAACAAGATGTATATTTATATATATATATATATATATATATATATATATATATATATATATATATAGGGAGAGAGTGAACTAATAGAGTAGGAATGGAAAAAGGAATTCTCTTGATTTTGAATATGCGTTACATCAAAATAAAGTTAAAATAAATTAATGTGTGCTTTCGTATGAGAAGTCTAGCAAAGCATTATTTTACCCCTTTATTAATTTTTACAGGTTTTTTAGTTTAATATCGGTTTAACGTTTTTCCCATTTTTGAAGAAGAATATGCGCTACGCAATATTAAAAATGCAAAGAAGTAGCCAGAAAGTGAAGAAACTCGACAAACAGCGATGAAAAATAAGTTTTGTGCCTTTTAATACTTCTAAATCAATATAATGCAATATTTAGTGTAATAAACACAAAATACATTTTTTCTGTGTTAAAATTATTTTTCACAATTTAAAAATGGAATACAGCTAGTATGAATATACAAATTAGACATTAATTTAAGGTTAGTACCATGTTGTTTCAAGAACAATGCAATTTTTTAGAAATTCCTAAATAAAAAGTGTTTTATTACCTATTTTTATTTGAAATAGAACTTAAAAATTATTTTTAGTCTCTTCAAAAAAAAATCTGAATGATCTTTTTTGAAAATAAGAATAAACTAATTGTGTGTGTGTGTGTGTGTGTGTGTGTGTGTGTGTGTGTGTGTGTGTGTGTGTGTGTGTGTGTGTGTGTGTGTGTGTGTGTGTGTGTGTGTGTGTGTGTGTGTGTGTGTGTGTGTGTGTGTGTGTGTGTGTGTGTGTGTGTGTGTGTGTGTGTGTGTGTGTGTGTGTGTGTGTGTGTGTGTGTGTGTGTGTGTGTGTGTGTGTGTGTGTGTGTGTGTGTGTGTGTGTGTGTGTGTGAACAATATTTCATGGGGGGAAATAAATGTAATTTTTAATTTTAACATAACATGATTTTGAATTATTAAACTTTGCAAATATGATAAATAAGTGTAGTTTTTTTTAACTTTAATATTTTTTTTATTTATAAATCTTTTTATTTATATTCTGTTCAGTCATTTAAAATTTAACTTTTTTCACCTGATGTTACTCTTACCTTACATTTTGTTCGAAAGCGGAAGAAAGGGAGAAAAAAGTACGAAGATTTTCAACCGAAAATCCAACAAAGCTGGTCGGTAGAAACAACGCTATTTAGCCGCATTCGTTATCTGAGAGGATCGTAACCTCATACTCGGCGAAATGAATCAATAACGGCGGATTCTGTACGATCCACGAGGATGAAATGTCGAGTAATCAGCTTTCTCCTCAGAGCTTTTGAGAAATTACAAAGTAGAACTGTTATTGTTTCTCTTTTGGCTCCTAAATTGTCATTTAAATTTTCTGGGACAATTCTAAGGATTGTGGAAATTTAAATAGGAAATTTCTTAGGATAGGAAAATTTAATTTAAATGCTTTGCTATTTTCTGTACTTTTTTTTACCGTGGTTGGTACCAAAAATATTTTGAAACAAACTGATTCTAGTAAGTCATTTCGTATCTCAAAATATCCTGTAAACTTTGTACGCTGCATGAAATAAAATTTGGTTAATTTTGTTGCATATTATGAAAATAAATTTGTAGGATGGGAAACACTTTCATAAGATTTAAAGTGTTTTCATCTCCTGTTAAAATAAAAATTTTAGAACCTTTTTGTATAACTGTCCAAATTAGAATACCATAAATAGATAGATAATGAGTATTTCGTTTTTATTAGCATCGACAAAG